GATGCTCTCAAGGCTAGCTTGCAGTGACTTTATTATCTAGTGCAGTGTTTCCCAACCTTGGGCCTCCAGCTGTTTTTGGACTACAACTCCCATCATCCCTAGCTAGCAAGACCAGTGGTCAGGGATGATGGGAATTGTAGTTCAAAAACAGCTGGAGGCCCAAGGTTGGGAAACACTGATCTAGTGAGTCAATTTCATTGCTTAAGGGGTGGTGGAAAGGAATATCCATTCTGTTGAATGAAAAACAGCTCTTTAAAAAGTAAGAAAATGTTCTGGAAATGACTGGTCGTTGCTGGGGGGGGGAGCATTGCTTTTTGAAGAACCAAGCACTTAAGTGGAGTGCACTCCCACGGGGATCTTGAAGCATGTTGTTTTTATAGGATGGGAAAGTTGGTCTGGATGATATCAGTGGGTCGCTTCCAGGCCTGTGGTTCTGTATCCATAAGGCTTAGAATGTAGCAGAAGAAGCTGGTCAAAGCACTTCCTCTTTTAGGCTAATGGCTTTAGGCAGCCCAGCAAAGTGCCATCATCAGCATTTGAAGAGTGAGATGTGTTGCCATAGTGACAGCTGAAGATGCTTCCAGCAAGATGCTTCCCTACCTCCTTTGGCTGGATGCCACATCTTCCTCTAGGAAGGGAAGCAATGGGCTAGCGGGGCAAGTTTTGTGTGTGAGTTTTGGCTGATGCTGGGAGCTGAAAGGAGGCACAGAACCCTGGGTAAGTGCAGGAACCCTTGGAATCTCCCTTCACTCAGAGATAAGGGCATGAACAATATCATTTTCCTGTTGCTATTATTTTAAGATGTCACTGCCTTTGACAACAACTCATTCTGTGCAACAACGTGTTTGAGGTTTGCTTCTGTACAGTGGTGCCCCGCAAGACGAATGCCTCACAAGACGAAAAACTTGCTAGACGAAAGGGTTTTCCGTTTTTTGAGTCGTTCCGCAAGACGAATTTCCCTATGGGCTTGCTTCGCAAGACGAAACGTCTTGCGAGTTCTTGCAAGTTTGTTTCCTTTTTCTTAAAGCCGCTAAGCCGCTAATAGCCGCTAAGCCGTTAATAGCCGCTAAGCCGTTAATAGCCACTAAGCCACTAAGCCGTTAATAGCCGCTAAGCCGCTAATAGCCGTGCTTCGCAAGACGAAAAAACCGCAAGACGAAGAGACTCGCGGAATGGATTAATTTCGTCTTGCGAGGCACCACGGTACTTAACTGGCAGTGAGAACTGAAAACTATATTAAGACAGTGTTATCACACACAATTAAGTCAATGGTCTCTTTTGGGGTGTACATCCAGGGCTGTGCTTTGTGTGCTGTGTGTTTTACAAATTCTGATGATAAATATGATTCTGATGCTGCAATGTATGTTCTTCCCCAAGCAGGGATAGACTGACTGTGTTTACTTAGAACTGTTTCTTTTTTAGTGCATTAGTATGGTAGTAGAAATATCCAAAAATACAACATATGTGGGAAGCTTTAATTTCTTGACCTCCTTACTTACTTCTGACTCTCATTCACAGTTTTGAAGTATGATGATACATTTAAAAAGTACACTGACTCTAGAAACTGTAAACTGTACTAGAAAACATCTGCTACAGCTGAAGAATAGTACAGAATTAAACTAAGGCTGCAATCCTGTGACTGAGAGGAATTGTTAAGTGTTGGCATGGGTAGGAAAACCATAGCCTCTTAGATGGGTGTATTTTCCTGTGTAATTTTCATTTGCTCTTATGATGGGATAGCTCAGTCAGTAGAGCATGAGACTCTTAATCTCACGGTCCTGGGTTCAAGCCCTACATTGGGCAAAAGATTCTTGCATTCCAGGTGGTTGTACTAGATGACCCTTATGTTCCCTTCCAACGCTACAATTTTATGATTCTGTGATAAAACTGTTAGAAATGTTTTAAAATTAGGGTAACTTCACTGCATAGTATTTTCTCAATAAATAGTTACATTGTGGAAGCTAAGTTTGTTTTGGTTTAACAATCTGAGGCATTGCTATTCACTCCACGCCCAATTGCCTTACCACCCTAGTCAGCACAAAGAGTCAGCTCAACCAGAAAGTAGGTTAAAAGGCTGTTTAGTTGGGTGTTATGTACTAAGCTTGGATCCTAGAACAATAGGGAGGTAGGATCCTAGAATGCAACAACCTGATTGGCCTGCAGGAGCAGCCCAATCAGGCTCCAGGAGGGAAGCAGAATCAACCAATCAGATGGGACTCATTGTGTAAATAATGTACGTAAAACCTGAGGTTTTGGGGGAAATTCATTCACTGTTTTACAAGCTGCAATAAAGAGCATGAAATCACTACGCGACTCCAAGTATATTTCATGGAGGCAGGCAGGGAATTGTCTTGGGCCAGTGGTGAGAGCCAAAGATGGGGCTGGATAGGTTAGTTGGCACATCTTGCCTCCCTCTCATTCTCACAGAGCAGTCTGCTGCACCACACTGCCCTTTTTTGGTTGCTTCGCTGGTTTAATCATTCCTTTCCTGGTCCATTGTCATGGATGGATCGTTCCCTAGTGTGGTTCAAGCTGAACATTGCTACTTCATGCTGCAGTGGTAGGGGACCTATTAAGATGGAGACTATGGAATCCGATAGATTCCCGAATGATTCGGTGGATGTTCTGGCTGACATGGCTAGCACTTCTGTCAAGGCTCTCATGAGATCTGTAGAGCTGTTGACACGATTGCTCCTGAGTGGCAGAGTAGGTAGGCCAGGAGAGGGCCTTCTCTGTGGCAGCTCCTAGGTTGTGGAATACCCTCACCGCTGAGGTGTGCTGGAACCTTCATCATACTGTTATTATCTTCTCTTTCCTAATGTATTGGTTTGAGCGGCCTTAGAATGAATTTGGTTGCATGAAAAATGAAGAAGTTAAATGCCTCTGAAAGGAGAAGAATAAATCATAGGTTGTTAGTGGCCCGATGAATGATATTCCTGAGAGAATTTCAGCATAAAAAGAAGGATAATTGGGGAGGGTAATATTGGTCTTATATACATACAGTGGTACCTCAGGTTACATACGCTTCAGGTTACAGACTTCGCTAACCCAGAAATAGTGCTTCAGGTTAAGAACTTTGCTTAATGATGAGAACAGAAATCGTGCTCCACCGGCGCGGCAGCAGCAGGAGTTCCCATTAGCTAAAGTGGTCTTCAGGTTAAGAACAGTTTCAGGTTAAGAACGGACCTCCGGAACGAATCAAGTACTTAACCTGAGGTACCACTGTACAAGTATTTCCTAACAGATATTACATCCGCATATCACTGGAGATTTTCATCTGTATTATTCAGCGCATTGTTCCAAGAATCTGCCTTCTGCAGAACATCCCTTCAAGGTTAGTTATACATCATTGTATGTAGCATATTCACTGGCCTATACTGAGCCTTGATAAAATGTTTTCATGTCAATTCATATGAATCATATGGTGTTATGAAAGGTCTTTTTGACAGCCAACCTACCCTAGCCCAGTGCAGCCATATAACTCTGCAAAGCATATGTTGCTACCATGTGTGTTACTACCATGGACTGGCAAAGCCGGCAACTTTGGTTTCTCGGTTTCTCATTCTGTCTCCCCAGTTTAGTTTAGTTTTGTTTATTTATTTGTAAAATTTGTATGCCGCCCTTCATTCGCAGATCTCAGGGGAGTTCACAACATAAGCATTGGGCTTGGACCCCAATATTTCCCCAACAGAATCACATTAGTAATATTTTATTAGGATTTTTTCAAAAAATTAACAACCAACAAAAGTCAACAAAAATCACAAAAAACAGACAACAAACATCAAAAATCCAAACAGAAAAACAGAAAAAAGAAAAATGCAAAAGAAAAAATTTAGCATAAAAAAGAACACTCTTTCATATTGGTAACTTTCAAAACCTTATTCTCTATTGGTAACTTTCAAAACCTTATTCTCAACAGAATCACATTAGAGGGGTCTTGGGCATGGCTTCTGCTCAGGCTCATGTCACCTCTCCCTGGGAGCTGGTGGTACTGGCACGAGGAGTAATGATGCCCTACATCTCTCTCACAGGGTGTCTTCTCCTTACACACAATGCCAACACCACTACACAGTTGGCAGGGCCCAGGTAATCATTTAGGTTCATTTTCCACATCAGTTTGCCCTTAAAAAAAAGTCACCATGATAATTCATCCGCATTTTTGTAGGAATTTCTTTAAATAGGCACGTTTTGAATATACTTTTACCTAATATAAACATTTTTGACAAATTATCCTAGGAATATGCATGTTGCGTGTTATTTTCCCAGATAAATGCATGTTTACACATACTTTATATGGATTTTTCTGCACATTCCCTGTGTACTGCATTGTGAAGTTTGTTAAAAGGAGAGTTTTTGAAAGATGGCTGTGTTTTGGTTTGCATACTGAACTGTAAAGTGCAAATGAGGTAGGTTCACCTTTAAATGCTGCATCAATTTTTGCCCCCATCCCACATTGTTACAGCAATAGAATATATGCAGTGGGGGGGGGGGCACATTGCATTCAGAAGGAAGGTGAGGCTGTCGAAGATGTCTCCTTCCCTGATTTGGCAAAGAGGCATTGGGGCAGTGCTGGAGCATGTGGTATATTATGCCTCTGGATCACAGCATATGTTGGAAACAGAGAGGGTTTTTTAGAAACCGTTCCAGACTGAATTGCTGTGCCATGGGTACCCAACACTGGCCCCTCATAGCCCATAAAAACCTCTTCTAAATCACCTCGCCTTACTCTTTCAAGGCCACCTTTACCATAATTCTGCACACTGAGCCATTTATAAATTGAAATAGCAGTCTGAGCATATTAAATGGAAACTATGTTTGACTCTGGGGTGAGGGACAATGAAACTGTGCCTTTCTCCCTTTCTTAATGTCTTATGTAAACTTTCAGTTACATCATGCATCAACCATAATTACATTGTCAAAGAGTGTTCTTTTTGCATTTCATTGCCATTTAATTCCAACTTTTTCACACACATCCTCTCCTTTTACACTCATGTACATACCTGCCAACTGAATCACTGGGCTGAGATACAGTCCATCCATCTGATGAAGTAGACTTTGGTGCACAAAAGCTTGTGCGTTTCTGCTGTGACAATACAATGACTTCCCCTCTGGAAACTGCTTCCCATGGTGTACACTCAGACTGCTTTTGTTCTTTTGTCACCTCTGATCAAATAGCCTTTGTAGGCTTTTGAAAGAAGTACAAAAACCTGTTTTCAAGAGGTGAAAGTGAGATGACTGTACACACCATGATGATCGCTTTTTCAAAAGCATTTTCAGCCTTCGTATTCAGCTCTATTTACAACCTGTCAATGTTAGTCTTGGCTATGTCTGCTGTCACACAGACCTGTATTTCTGTTCTCCATCTTTGTGAGGCAGCGTTACAGTGGCTGGATCTTAGGCAGGAAGTCATTAGTACAGGAATTCCTTGGCTTTTCCTGATATCTGCACTAGTAATATAAGTTGGTCAAGGTGAGGCAAAATCAAAGAGAAGCCCAGCAATATATGATACCCAAATAGACGAACAGCAGGATCTCTGTCTCGAATACACTGAACTGAGGATGCATGTCCTTGCCAAGATCTTTATCGCCTTCAAATTTGTATTCTGATCTGCAGCTTTGGTTATAAATCACCACTGGGTAATGTAATGTGCTTGGACAATAAAGCCGTGTAAACAAGTTCAGGAAATCTCACAGTTACAGTGAAGGCCAGATGTATGAAGTACCCAAGGACCTTAGCTTGCTCTTTACATTAAATGAAGCAAGTCACTCTGGAATACTTGTAAGTTCAGTACATCTTGTAGATCACATGTATATGTTTTGGCGTGGCAAAGGAATGAAGGATGGTAAGATACCCATGACTTGCATATATCTGGGACACATCTTGATGACACTAGACCAGGCTTCCTCAACCTCGGCCCTCCAGATGTTTTTGGCCTACAACTCCCATGATCCCTAGCTAGCAGGCCCAGTGGTCAAGGATGATGTGAAAACATCTGGAGGGCCGAGGTTGAGGAAGCCTGCACTAGACCAATGAAGACTTGAACTGAATAATTAACCTAATAATTTGTTTATAGCCCTCTCAGCCTACCCTACCTGTGGGGTAAGTTAGGCTGAGCTTCATGGCTGAGTGGGGATTCAGACCCTATTCTCCCAGCTCCTAGTCTGATGCTCTCACCACTAAACCACACTGGCTCTCTCAGTGACATACCTTAATATAATCTAGCATATAGGATGGTCAATAAATTGGGGAATTGACACAGAGTGCACTGCCAGGATGTTTTATGATAATTTAAGACTTGGATATTAATTTGGACTCATATTTACTGTTGAGCAATTTGTGTAGAAAAATGCCTCTAATATTTGGCATGCATCCTAATTATACAAAAAAAAGTCCCCCTTTTCACTAGGGATGGGTGAATATGTTGATTTTGATTTCTCTCATTTTCTCATTTTTCCAATCTTGTATTCAATTCTTCATATTTCAATATCTGTTTGTGATTTCTTTTCTTTTCAAAAGTCCTCATGAAACTTAATCAGTATTTTACTGCAAAATTCTCCCAATAAACATGTTTGCATTCAAAGTTGCCTATTATGCACATTTTTTGCAAAGCAAGTTATCCTAACATAATGCATTTTTGTAGGCTATTTTTTTGCTGATATAGACATTTATATGCACACTTTACCCTAGCACAGGGTTTCCTGAACTTGGGCTTCCAGTTGTTTTTGGACTACAGTTCCCATCATCCCTAGCTAGCAGGGCTAGTGATCAGTGCTGATATAGACATTTATATGCACACTTTACCCTAGCACAGGGTTTTCCAAACCTGGGCTTCCAGCTGTTTTTGGACTACAGTTCCCATCATCCCTGACCACTAGCCCTGCTAGCTAGGGATGATGGGAGTTGTAGTCCAAAAACAGCTGGAGGCCCAAGTTTGGGAAACCCTGTGCTAGCACACAAATTTCTATATATAGTGGAGAATTGCATTGCATTGCAAAATTTGGAGAAGTGACTTTTGAAGTGTGGCTATGTCTCAGTTCATATCTTGTTTTGGAAAGTGTGAATTAGCTAAGTTCGCCTTTAAATGTAAACTGAATCAAATTTCTCTGTCATCCCAACTTCCCACTGGCAGAACTATACATGTAATTGCTATTGGAGGGACTACACACACACACACACACACACACACAGAGAGAGAGAGAGAGAGAGAGAGAGAGAGAGAGAGAGAGAGAGAAACTGCTGAGGTTTCAATTTGTAGCAGAAGACCAGAGCAGGAGGAGTAGAGCTTCTTAACTATTTCCTCTCATGCTGTTTTCCTGCTGAAAATTGCCTTCTCTAAGCTGCTTTGACCTCCAGTGGGGAAAAGATACAAGTTATTATGAAGGACTACCACTGAAACAACCACTCTAATCCTTTCTAACATTTAAAAACCCTTCCATTGTAATGAACAGAAACAGAACAACTCTGGCGATGTGGTGACAGCTGCTTTTGAATTCAGTTTTTCCCTTCGATAACAGTGCTCTCTTATAATACTCTAGAAACTATTAAAAGAGCAAAATCAAAATATCACCTATACCTTTGTTTAGCAGTTTTGTTGCACATGGAAGATGCGAGGCAGGAACGAAGAGGTTTTAAGTGGGTCAAGGGTTAAAGGAGAGATGCAAGGAATGTAGGGTGTCGACAGAGGAAAGATAGCAGAAGACTGCATCAGCGTTGCACTGTGAATATCATACAGATAAGGCTTGTTGTACGTCCAGGTACCTGCATAAGAATTTGGCTGCATAAATAACAGGAGAGGGTAATGTATGCTGTTTTTTTCTTCCTAAAGAACGTTGTAAATAGATAAGTAAACGCCATCAAGGTTCTCCTGTTCTTGAAGCACAGCGCCCAAAGATTCAAGGTGCATGGGTTTTAATTGTATAAACTGCCTTCGTTAAACATGTAGCCATCTCTCTGACCACTCCTTCAGCCTGACAGTATCTGAGACTGTTTGTGGACAGGACACAGGGGCTAGAGATAGCCAATAGCTTTTTTTCACAAAGCGAAATGTGGTAGAACAGAGCTAGAGTTGCCTGTGGTACGTGTTTCTTCTACCTCACAAAATAATAATAATTAATAATAATAATAATAATAATAATTTATACCCCGCCCATCTGGCTGGGCTTCTCTAGCCACTTTGGGCGGCTTCCAACAAAATATTAAAATACAGTAATGCATCAAACATTAAAAGCTTCCCTAAACAGGGCTGCCTTCAGATGTCTTCTAAAAGTCTGGTAGTAAAGCTTTCAGTTAAATTTTGCAATGCTTCACAAACCTGCAATGTCTGTTTGACAAGAGAAGATGCTGGGACGAGGCAAATGGTTATGTACCACGGGCCCAACCTTGTTGCTGCCCTGCGCTGCCCCTGCAGCAACCCTGGTCTCAGAAGGACAGCTCCACAACTCTGCCTCACCAAGCCAGCCACTACTAACCATGGACCATTTGTCTGACTCCAGGCATCATCATCCCTTACATGGATTTAACTTTGAACCTAACTGCACCCTGAATGAATTGTGTGGACTGCAGTCACATCAGGAGATTGAAACTATGTAAACTTAGGTGCAGGGAGATGATTTCCCACAGGATTACAGTGCATGAGCAGCGGTGTTGGGGTCAACCCTGCACCCCAATAGTGATCCTGATGGAAATCTCCCCCCCCCCCACGGCTGCTGCAAATTGCAAATGGAACTAAAGCTCCCATTGGCACCACAAATAGTGTTTGAAATCCTTTGAAAGTGGAGTGGAAAATTCATGAGTATGTGCTATAGTGATCCAAAATTCCTAATATCCAGAGTTCTTCCTTTCTTATGCATTAGAAAACCATTGCTCTTCTTTCTTTATAAATTCTGAATTTTGTAAAAATGCTGCATGTGAATACAATTTGCCACATCTTTCTCTTCATTACACCCTTCCCCCCTTTACATTAACTGTGAGCATGTGCTGATGGAGTCAGGCATGTGATTGTATCAATATTCTGTTTGCACTGTGTTCTATAGATGCACATGTGATATGCATATTGATAAAATGCAGCAAAAATGCAACCCTAGTATGACCAGTTGCATAAATACCCTTTTAGTGTGTTATTTTATCATTGCATCCCATGTGAATGTGCGCATCAGTAAAACACCCCACAAAAGGAATCACGTCAGTATTTATTTTCACAGTGTTTTATCAGTCTGCATTTGTGAACTGGTCATATACAGAACAGAAAATATTGAAATGAACTGAAGGAACTGAAAGCTGCAGCAAATTTTGCACATTCCAATTCCAGAATTAATTTTACAACTTGACCTAGTTAGATTGGAATTTGGCTGGAGTGGATTGCAGGGCAGCGTGACCTTACTGAACAATAAAGAAATGGAACTGGAAAACACGCTCATGGTTATAGGTTTTTATTATTTATTATTTATTCAATGTATATACTGCCCTTTATCCAAATATCTCAAGGGAGTGTACATTATAAACATAGTTTATATAGCATAATAATAAAAAACAATACAACAATCACAGGGGGAAAATCACAACGACAGACATAGAATCATTGAATTGTAGAGTTGGAAGGGATCCTGTGGATCATCTAGTCCGACTTCCTGCAATGCAGGAATATGCAGCTGTTCCATATGGAGATTGAACCTGCAACCTGGGATTGAACCTGGCCTGGGTAAAGAGGAAAGTTTTCTTCTGGTGTCTAAAGACATGTAATGGTGGTGCCAGGTGAGCCTTTCTGGGGAGAGCATTCCACAGATGGAGAAGCACTGCAGAAAAGGCCCATTCTCGTGTTGTCATCCTCAGAAGCTCTTGGGCAGAGTGGACATAGAGAAGGGCCTTGGATGACAAGAGCAGGTTCCAGGTGGGTTCATATGGTGAAAGGTGGTCCTTAAGGTATTGCGGTCCTGAGCCGTGTAAAACTTTATAGGTCAGCACCAGCACTTTGAATTGGGCCTGGAAACTAACTGGCAGCCAGCGCAGTGGAGCCAAGATTGGTGTTAAATGCTTAACTAGTCTTGCCCTAGTGAGCAATCTGGCCATCGGATTTTGCTTTAGTTGGTTAGGCTTTATCATTACCACTAGATAGAAATGGCACGGCATGTGGATTGACTCCCCTAAAAGTTAGTGCAGACCTGAAAATATTTGTGTCTAGAGCTCTTAAAATCTCCTGTTATTGACTTTTGCAACCTTGGTCACAGGGGTAGTGGCAACTATGCTTGCTGACTCTCTCTAACAGGAAATGGTTGTACCTATCCCACCAGGAGCCTCTCCTTGAGTCTCAGGGTCTGAACCTCAGGGACCTAGCATCTCGCCCAAAGAGGGGGTGAGGTGACAGAGGGGGAAAGATGACCTTCTCTGACCCAAGACTACACTAAACACAATGAAAGGACCATCAGTGAGTGCTGCCTGCCAAAATGGGATCCACCACATTCTGTCTTCACTAGCTTGAGCTTTAAGGTCCAAGAAGCGATAAAGCCTATTCTATAGGGAAAATAAAATTGTGGGAAACACAAGAACAAGGAAGTCACAGAGACATTTCCACTGGCAACTCAATTTTCTTTTTTCTATACTTCTCCAATAGCACTCATGAAACAAGCTTTAAGGCACCTCTCCAATATGAATACTCATGAGAGGCACAAGACAAAAGGCTATGTTATGTGACCCCTGACGTTTCCTCATTCAACCTTAAAAAAACATACCAATTCCAGCACTATACATTATTCCACTTGCTAACCAAAAGAGCAGAAATGGCAGAGGGTATAATCTGCAGTGACTTTGAGAGGATCAACTGCTTGCCACAGAACAAATTGCCTTCTACACATTATTTTCCACTGACTGGTTTTTTATGTATTACTTGCTGTGCTATCTTTGCGATGGGAAAGGGGTGAGAAACTATACTCGATCTTCTTGTTCTTTCTCCCCCTGAAGAACAAGGAGGTGGAGAAAGAAAAGATTGTGCATTATTACCTATTCTGCATGAAGTTTCTTTGTCCCACAAAACTCCCTATGTTGCTGTTTGAGGGTGAGGCCATAGGCTCTGAAACATTCCTATCTCTTTATTTACTTGCAATTCTCTCTGTCCTCCTGCCCACTGCAGTATATGCTTACTTTAGCACAGAGAGGAAGACCTTGTACCTGCACCTCCATGAACTGAAGAATTGCTTGGTCTGTGACGTAGGCATCCCTCAATGTCGCACTCTGGATCTTGTCTTTTTGGCTGGGCACAAAGAGGGTGATCTGAAAGTGAGGGATATTGAAATCAGCCCCTTGTCATTGTCAGATCACTTCCTGCTGAGCTTTAGGCTTTCAGCACCCTTTCCCCTCTGCAGAGACAGGGGACCTATTAGGATGGTCCTCCCTCAAAGGTTGATGGATCTGAATGGTTTCCAGGCAGCTCTGGGGGTTTTTCCAGTTGATATAACTGGCACTCCTGTTGAAGCCCTGGTTGATCTCCAGTTGGCTCAGGTTGTTGACACGGTCACCGTTAAGCACCCTCTCCTGCTTCATGGAGCCCTTTTGGTTCCATGGTATAATCCCAAGCTGAGGGCAAAGAAGCAAGCTGGGAGACAGCTTGAATGCAAGTGGAGGAAAACTCCAGTTGAATACAACCAAAGTGTGCATTTTCAAGCTTACTCAGTGGCAGTGGAGGCAGCAAAGAAGGCATAGTTTACTACCTCCATTGCATCCTCACTATGCCATCCAGCACATCTTTTCCAGGTAGTGTGGAGCCTTTTGCATACTGGCCCAAATGAGGTGGTAGAACCAATGGTAGCTTGCTGCGACTTGTTTGGCAAGCATTTTGAGAATCAAATCACTTGCATTCATCGGGACCTTGACTCTGCAGTTATAGTGGTTGAATCTCAAGAGATGTGCAGATGTCTGGTCCTGTTTTGTTGGATGAATTTCAGTTGATGCAGCTCAAGGATGTGGACAAGGCACTTCCATCAGTCTGGGTGACTACCTGCACTCTGGACCCTTACCCCTCTGATAAAAATCCAGCAGGGAAGAGCCAGCTGCCTGGAGTTCATCTCCTGGCAGTTCCTGCCTGTTTGAAGGAGGCAGTGATAAGGCAGTTCCTTAAGAAACCATCCCTAGATTCTGAGAATCTTAGTAATAATCTGTGGCCTGTTAAATGTGGTGGACGGACTGTGTTAGTATGATTATTATGCTCTGTATTATTATTTTTCATTATGCTGCGAAAATTACATTCTTAATGTTCTACACCACCCTGTTATCTTTATCTAAATAAGGGCAGTATAAAAACAAACAAACATGCTCTTGCACCCCCATTTTGTGAATGCAGTTCATGATCAAGGAATTTTCCTTTCTGGAGGCACTAAAAAAAAGTTTCTCCAAAGCTGCATGTTGCTGCCAGATGTTTCCACAAGACTTCAAAACATTGAAGTTATTTGTGTGCTTTGGCATACATGACTTCATCCCTAAGGACTATTTCAGGAGGCTCCTCCTCCTTAATTAAGCTAATTAGCACTCTGCTGTGTCCTTTGCAAAGCTATTCTATTGTCTTCCTCCTCGTAGCATTTCAACTATTCATGAATCTTACAGTGTTTTGAAAGGTTCTCTTCAATGAAGCTTAACAC